CTGGAACAGTGTTGTAAATACAACTTAACCACTGATTTCTAGTCGTGTCCTCTTCTGGAAGGCCAAACAAAGTAGTTTCGCTTTCACAACGAAACACACAGCACCTTCACGACATGGCGGCGGAGGCAACAACAATACTACAGCGAGAATAAAAGTTACGCCTTCTTTCTTTGCGTGAACATTTGGGCGGCGTTATGCAAATCTTCCCACATCGTGACGTACACATGTGGGGGCGTGTTAGAATGAGTTGTTTTAGGTAGGCGTGGTTGACTCTTAACTTTTATAAAGAATATCTCTTTGGATTTGAGACTTTAGTCTTTGCAACTTTACAGATCTTCTTTATGCACTAAGAGCTTGTAACACTCCAAAGAGAAAGGAAAAATTTAAATCGCATCATATGACCCCTTTAAGAGAATAATTCAATGATTCACTCATAAGGACAGCCTCAAACGAAATAGTCATTCTTGATTCGATTGCATTATTCACAATTTTTTAAGCGTGCCATTTTGGACTTGAATGTCAGTTGCTTCCAGTTATTTTAATGGTAAAAATCAGTCTGTTCTGCTTCTTGATGTTGCAAATTGGTATTTGCTATCATAATGTTTTAATTATTATCGCAAACATAAACATACTGGTTTGTAGCGCAAATAGCTTAATCATTCACTTTACTTTGTGAATCTTCTAGTTTCAATTTACCTATTGAAAGTCTCGCACGCTCTCAGAAAATAGCTTACTTCTGCATTTAAAAATAAGGTGGATACACAGTCTTGCACCTGTCTTTTTCCCAGTTTCCATCTTCGAGAGTTGGTTGTGTCATTGAAGATTTTTTATTAATGTAGAAAAGGAACGCGGAAAATACTTCAGGTACCAAGGCCACCGAAGAAGTGGACAGTCACAGTTGTGCTCTACATCCATACATAACGCAGCGTCACAGCTTGTACCAATGCATACATACATAATGAGGAGTAAATGTGTAGTAATGATTTAAATGTGCATAGCAGGGCACTGAGATTTATTAGATATCTGCTGCTCTAGAAACCGACTATATCATTTATGATTAAAGTCAGAATACTAATGACACCCTACTCGTCCTCGTTCGCATCATTAAACCTTAGCGTTGAATCATTCCCAGCAGGCCAGTCCTACAGAGACACACACATATGCAGAGTGCAAGCTGCTGCAGCCTGGTGACACTCCCTCCTCTCTGTCAGTTCTATCACTGGCAGACAAATCCTTAACCTCCCCATTACCACAATTAATGCTCGGGTGAGGCCACTCCCCCCAGTACAGCTCCAGTCACTGTGACAGGCCGCTGAAGCAAGGATGAACCAACCATTAATCACCAAACATGAATAATCAAACGTCTGCTCAGAGCCCAGGCCTGCAAAAAATGTCATCCCTTGCCAAAGCCGGAGAAGGATTTGGTTGGGAAATTACTCATTCACACTACAGAGAACAGAGAGCTCTTTCGTTATGTGCGCGCTCAGACTTGTGATTTCACCCCTCGTGGTCTAACATGGAGAGATGCTGTGGGTGGGTGGCCGGTCTACTAATAAACCATTTGTCCCTTAACCTTCACCTGCAGGATCCACCCCCTCATCAGCAAAATTAAACTAGGGATTGACCTTCATTCTAACAGTCAGATATGAGAGAGGCTCTGTTCCAAAACCTAGTGTGCTGCCTACGTAGGCAGTATTTCAAGATGAGAAATTAAAAAAACTTATATTTCATTCAATACTGAAAAATGCATTTATTTTATTAGGGTCTGTGGTCAACACAAGCTCAAGAAATTGTTATGTTTTATTCTACAACAGAAAATACACCAGAAACATAAAAATTATACAACAGAAAATACACCTCACTCATGATTTAAAAAAAAATCTTTTTTAGCTTTTAACTTGTCTGGAAAAAGGTGGCTGCTAACAAGTTGCTAAATGGGACTACAGAGCCCGTTGGGGACATTAAACATCATCACACCAAAGAGTAAAACTCATCTACATACTTTTTAATTTGTACATTTTAAATAAAGATTGAAAGAGTTGCTTGTGGTGCTGACGCTGCAGTCAAGTGACTGTGGTGCAGTTCGCTTATAGCCTCACTTTAGCTTTTTAATTTCGGCTAAACGTATTTAGGGTTTAATGTCTAATTTTTAAATGTTGTATTCATTTGCAAAGGTCTCTTGATGAACAAAACGTGTAAGAATCATACACTTTTGTTGGTCACTTATTTTCTGAAATAACACAAAACTGTTGAGGGAAGCAGAATGATGCAAACTTCTGGTTTGGCCTACAAAATTATGTTATCCCTAAAACTCTGCACTAAATTCTTTTGAAATTAATTGTTGAGTTTCTGCCTAAAGAGAGTGTTCCAAATTATGAGGTTCTACGACAACTACAATGCTGCTTGTATATGCAGCGAAGCAGCTCACTAGGGTTTTGGAACAAAGCTAGAGGAAGAAATGATTGGGTCTTGTTGTCCATGGATTTATATAAGGTTTGCAGCTTGAAAATCCTTCAGCAGAAGGTGATGTAACATTTGAGCACTCACTGGATTGAGACAAACTCTCCTGTTTGTGACAGGTCTTTGTTTGGGCTTTTGTTCTGGTTCAGTCAGGTGAGCCTATCTGTCATTCTCATAGCAGAAACATTAACACCACAAAACCCAGCTTCATGCTTCAGCGCAACAGTCCAAATAACCCACAGGGACTGAGGAAGAAGAGGATAAGCCCCTCGTGGACCACTGAATGTTGCATGGCATAAAAAACAGGCCAATAAAAGCATAATAAATTATGCATTCAGTATGCTTGACTGAGCATGATTATTAGAAATAGAGCTAATGGATTGATATTTTGAACAGGATGCAGCAGAGGTAAATCTAATATAGTCTTTATGTGAGATACTCACTGAT